TCTAATGGTAAGATTCAAAAGAGAATTTGTATATTTACTATTTATCTCGTTAGTATAATATATATATGCAGAAAAAATAACATGTAGTGGAAAGACTTCGTAAATTAACAAATCGTTACTTTACATCTTCCATATTAGGTCGTATTTGGTATAAGGCACTTGTACTTATATATAAGCACAAATGAACTATGTCAACGATTAGAAAACAACGATTATTGATTTGATATGTGCAACTAATAACATTATATGATAATCCTCTGCATAGAAATCTTGAGTTATACAAAAGTTCATCTTCGAGTTACCTCTGCTCTTCTTGAAGTATGCGAGCGTCATTATTGGTAGACTCCATATTTTCTACTCCCACTCCCTCCCCTGAGGACTTAAGAATACCCCGAAAAATAGGGAAACTATAGCATTTATACTTAAAATGCTTCATCCTTTCATCCATCACAAAGTAAAAAAAATGCTTTCTTGGAAAAATAAAAATCGACACTCAATACCATTTATGTCAGAAGAAATGAATTATTTACAAAAAAAAGAAATACTTTAACTATTTCTACTTTCACAAGGAGAAGTGTATAAAACTTAAGGAGATATCTGCTTGGGTGTGGGTGTGTGTAGGCGCAAGTGTTCATCATATTGAGATTTACCCACACCTGCATCTTCCAAGCCATCATATTACTAATGATAATATGTTTCTTTATTCTCCCTATTCAAAAAAGGACGATTTCAAATCAATTTAAATTTAAATATCACTATATATGCTTCGTTTCACATGTGCGATTACAATGCCGATCAAATATTCTAATTTAACGTGTTATATATTTAAATTGGATTTTTGGTAATGGTCGATATTTTGTAGTTGAATTTGTTTTATGTGTCTTCTTTAATTTCGAAATTGTTCTGTTTTTGTCTTAATTAAATGATAGATTGTTAAGTAGTGTCCATAGTTCTTGTTGCCTATCAACGAATATTTTGATTTCGTCCATAAACAGATCATGCAAATCGACTTGTATTGTATTTCATATTTCATCAATTATAGATTCATATTGATACAACTTGTTCAGAATTAGTTGACATATTAATACTTGATTCTGTTTACTCTTCCATGTTGATTCATCTATTCTTCAATATAGGTATTGTAAATGAAATCACATTTCATCTTCGCTTGATGTAGCAGGATTTTGTTCAAAAAGTTGTATTTCTTTCGCTAACTTGGCATGTTTTCGTTCTAGTTTCGACGTCAATTCACATATTTGTATGCTTGTTTTATAAAAACCTAGTTTTCCAGACTAACAAACTTCTCTTGAAGAATACTTCTTTTATCTGTTCAGATTATAAAACATATCGAGTTGCTTAGCAAACAGTAATTTTTTCTGTTGCAAATCGTTTTTTTGCAGAAAATATCGTCATTTTAAGTCCACTCCCGGCCAAGAATCACTATTTTCGTCAGAATAAACAATTTTAAGAATTGTCTGTACATGGGTAGGCCTTGTTATCTACTTTCAAAAACAGTATTACTCATCAGAATTCTGATGGTTTTTTATGATTTTACACAGGATTTACTGATGATGATGGAATCAAGAAAAATGAGTTTTTTGAAAATATTAGTTATTGTTCCCCTTTGAACCTTTTCTACAGTTTTCCATAGTGTAGAATCTAGCAACAATGTGTGAAATAGCAAGCACTTCGAGGCTTCGAATAAATGGAATCTTGTCCTGTATTTCTTTATCTACTAGTGTTCATTTAATTATGTAATTATTTTGATAGTATTATGTCAGAAGAAACATCTTCTAACATAAGTATGTGTTCTCTTCTCTTTCTTCGGCTTCATTCTTGAATGTGGGGTGTGGGTGGGTGCTCGTATGGCTATGGGTGCTGTCTGCTCTAAAAAAAAGTAAAGGGAATCTGCAAAACTTTTTTATAGCTCTGCAGCTTCTGCGGAATTTTTTAAATTTCTGTATGAAAATATTGAATCATAAAAAATTCTGCCTAGCGATGCTGAATAATCATGAAGGATTCTGCCTTAAAATGGAGAACTGTGAAAGGTTCTCTGCCTAATCATGCTGAACTATGGAAGATTCCACCTAATAATTTTGAATCATGAAAGGTTCTGTCCAATAATGTCGAACCATAAAAAGTTCTATGTCTCACAATGCTGAACCGAAGAAATTCCGCACAATAACACGAAATATGATAAGGTTTTGTCAAAAACTATTGCACGATGAAATTTTGTCTGCCTAAAAGTGCGGAACTGAAAAAGTTCTGTCTCATAAGACTGAAATTCGTAAGATTCTATCCAAAAAGTGTTGAACCGAAGAGTTTTTGCGCAATAGTACTGTATCTTGAAGGATTATATCAAAAAATGCTGAACTTTTCAGGGTGTCTCAATGATAAAATAGAACCATAAAAGGGTTTGACAGAGAAAATACGGTTCACGATATATTTATTATGAAGTCTTTTTGCAAAAGTTCGATAAAAACATTTTGTTAAATGTAGTTTATGGTATATTCGACAGATCTAGTTTATCACATTTTTTTGCATTTCTATTACGTAGAGGTCTTTTATTCTACTCTAATTGGACGATTTCTCTCGACGATCAAGATTGTTTTTATGTACTTGGACTGAGGAGATGAATGAATCTTCTTTTATTTATCAGCAATTTCACTTTATTTATATCGTGTAACTGTTATTTCTTCTAGAATAAGATTAAAACAAATCACTAACGTTATTCAGAACACCTAGCTTATTTATAATAAATCTGATAAACGACTGTAAAAGCATATTAATTTTGTTATTTATGTGTGGTATTTCAAAATGCTGACATGAATTTGATTATCTGTATTCGCCTACAATGTGTCATTATTGATACAAGAAAAGAGAAACAGCCATCCTATTTTTTAACAACAGAATAAAAAAAATATATATTCTTGTCCAAGTCAATTATCTGTAGTCGCATACGACTGTACACTGATATAAAAACAATAATCATCTATAGGGACCGTTTACAGTAACCATAAACGATGGTTTATGATGTATTACGAGCATCTAAGCAGTAGTCATAAAAAATACTGTTTACGACTATCTTAACAATATGATGACTGCAAAAGACGCTCTGATAATATCTCAAGCCTCCCTAAAAAAAGTCACTTTTCATCTGAATGATCGAAATTAAGATAAATACAGGAGAAGATAGCCTATGATCCGATCTCTTATAAACGACAAAGATTTTTATTGGGCACTTCATTTTTTTCAAAAATTTTTGAAGATTTCGGTCATTCTCTATTCGAAAAATAAGCTTTTTTTGGAAAAAACCGATAATCTCTTTTTCGTTTTTTCTCGTTTTATAAGTTTTTGATTGCGCATCCCAGAATTCTTGAAGGAGCCCGATTGGAGACAATAAATTTTTTTTGTTTGAAAGAGCATGTCAAGACGCAGGATATGACAGGGCTCCTTTTTCGAATTAAACTCTGTTACTATTATAGAAAAGAATACATTTACAGTTACAGGGCCATTTTTTGTGAATTTTGTGAGATGTTGAACTATTCATCCCTTTTTTTCTCCCTTAAAAAGTAAGAATTTGAAAAAAGGGCTTTGTCATGTCCTACATCTTGACATGCATTTTCAACCAGAAAAGATTAAGCCTATAGAATGAAGGTCCACCGAGAAATTTGGATTGTCAAATGAGTTATTTTTGACTCTGATTTGTCGAATATCTCCCAAAAACATCATGGTTCAGGGCTGAAAATTTTACCATAGCTTCTTCACAGCAGCCCCAACATATTCTGAAAGTTTCATGCCATTTGAATGTTCCTGGCTCAAGATCGATTTTTGAGGGGTGGTGGAGGCCTCAAGTCGCCACATACGTAAACTGAAACGGTTTCATATACGATCATCTTTTTCAATCGTGTTTATTCGCAAAGCTATAGATATAAGGTTAAAGGTATAAGGATATGGGTAAAAGTTTATAGGTATAAGACTAGATAAAAGAGTATAATCATAAGGATATATATATATATAAGAGTATAGTAACAAGAGTATAAAAATAAGGTTATAGATATTAGCGTAATACACATAAATGCATAGTCATAGAGTTGTAGTCATAACGGTGTAGATGCAAGACCATAGGTGTAAGGGTATAGTCATAAGAACATAGTCTTAATGGTATAGGTATAAGGGTACAGAGGACGATACTAAGACGTTGAACCATCTTTCTACTACAATACTGGCATCCTATAAAAAAGACTTATATACCATACATATTATAATGAAAATTCTAAAGACTCTCAAGACCCGCAACACCCGCACCCTATAAAAATAGGGGGTATATACTATAAATATCATCATCATAATTCTAAAGATCCGCATGTCCCGCATTTCATTTTGAAATCGAGTGTCGTTTTTTTCTTCTAAATTCAGATTGAAATCAAAAGAACCATATTATGACTAGTGAGTGATGGTCACGACTGCATCCTTAGAGGTAATATTGATGCGGAATTGATACTTTCAGAAAAAAATACGAGCAAAGATAGAGTATTTGACTGAAATGTTTCGTCATCAGCGCCAATCCATTTTTCTTTTGTTTTTCTTACTGTTCTGTTTGACAACGTAATAATACTATTGCTGATATTTGAGAAAAGAAGGCAAATGTAACTTTTTTGACTTGAGAAATGTCTTTTGGTGGAGAATTAATTTTTCATTTGATTGTCGTGTTTCAAGTTAGGACGAACAAGACAAACCAGCGAGATCATTCATAGATCTATTTCATGTCGAATGAGCTCTCATTGGAAAATGTGCTTCGGCGCTGTGGTGATTTCAATCGTTTTCAATTTCTAAATTATATTTTTCTCAGTTTAATACCTATTGGCTCTGGTATTACAACCTTTTATTACGTATTTGGAGTTGCTGAACCGTCGTTTCGATGTCGACTACCATTATGGTTATGGCCAGATGAGGATCAATACCAAGCAATCAATCAAACGCATCAAAATTTTCTCGATATGTGGCAGCGGACATCGAAATGCAACGATTTTAATGGATCAGTGTGTGCCGATTTTGTCTACGATCGAAGTGTATTTGGTAGAACATTTACAGAGGAAGCCAATCTTGTTTGTCATAACGCTGTGAAACGGACATGGTTATCAACTTTATATCAAGTTGGAGGGTAAGAAAATCATCTATATTAATGATTAAGATATGTGAATGATACTCGTTTAATAAAAGTTTTGTAGTTCTCGTGACCGGAACAATGTCTGACAAGGTTGGACGACGAAAAATGATCCAAATTCTGACTATTCTACTTTTCTTGGTTCCTTTATTGACTGAAATACTTCTGCAAACAATCACGATGAGTGTCAACGCTAAGTAAGCCAGAGAAAAGTCTCTAATGAACTGTATGTTTCTCTACTATAATAGCAGAAAGCACTGTTAGTAGACTTTGAATATAAGCTTTGTTCCTACGTCTTGTTAATGATTTAAGCTTTGAAAAAAAAGCTCCAATTTCGTTGACTAATACGAAATAATCGACGAAATAAAATGATAATGGCCACAGTGCTATACTTAGTTCTGTCATTGAAAATATCAAGAAAATGGCCTCAAATAACTAAAGTCAAAATAAGACTTTTAAATTGTTAATTAAGCAAAGACCATCATGCGAATTCGATGCAGAAATCCGTTGAGGACAGCTATATAGGAAGTTGTTCAGATGCGGAAATCAGTCTAGAATATTATTGGATCTTTCATCAGGAAATCTAGTCTGTTGTCAAGTTGATACCCAATGAGAAGATGAAGAGCGGTGCATCAGTGAGTCGAGTGAAACTTTCGAAAATCTGAATCGATCATTCAAATTTGAATCTGAGATGCGTGCTTGCTGATAGTCAGCAGTACAAAGAAATGTTTTATGTGAAAGAATCAGTGTTACATCCTCACCTTCTAGAGCACTCAACAACATAGAAGTTGATAGCGCATAGAGCCTTTATAGTAGCATAGAATCGAATTAGAATAGAAACAATGAGACTATTTCTTGAGATAGTTTGTTACATCTATCAAACAGATGATTGAACGATTTTTCTTCGACCTATTTCTGATCAAATATTGAATGAAATCATCTAGGTTTGCTCTTCTGTTGGTCAACCAGCTTTTTTCAAGCATAGATGCATATCCCATGGTGTTTCTTCTTCTCATGGAATTGACTTCATCTTCGCACACAAGTCTCGCTGGAAATCTTGCCTTGATTGGTTTCACTTTTGGTGAAGCTCTAGTGACCGTTTTTGCTTATCTGGCTCGTGATTGGCTACTTCTCAAATGGATTATTAGTGGTTATTTTGCTCTTGTTTTACCATATCTTTACTTTGTTCCCGAATCACCGTATTGGTTATTTAGTACAAAAAAGTACAATCAATTGGAACATTGTCTCAACAAAATAGCTGCGAAGAATGGTCGTACACATGATCAATGGCATCCATATTATATGCAGTTGATTCATGATCCTGAGATTGCCATGCGACAAGCTAAACATGCAGCGCGAACAGCTAGGGAAAAGTTTCTGAGGCATGTGCCTCAATTGATTATTTGTGGATTGATCGGTTTTGTTACCATGCTTTTGTATATCAAAATTTCTTATGGACTCAGTGCCATGAACGATGAGGTGAGCCCATATTGGAATAACATTATTGGCGCAGCTGTGGAAGGTATTGGATATATAAGCGTTAGTATTTTGATAACTACACGACTTGGCAGAAAGTATTCGTTGATGATCTATTTGCTGTTAACATCAATCTGTGTATTCATAATTCCATTCATTACAAAGCCGCTTCCTATCTTTACTATTGTTGTATCACAGATAGGAAAATTGACAATCAGTGGCGCTGTATCGATATCTTGGGTTTATGTTCCAGAGATGTTTCCAACATCTATGCGTGGCTTAGCTAATGGTGTCTTTGTGTTTGTCGGGCGTTGCGGAGCTATTGTAGCGCCCATCATTGACACTGCTATCAGCGACGAAAAATTAAAAATCACATTTTATGTTTATGCCTCTGTGACGATTATTTTGTCTGGTATTATCTATTTCCTAGCCGAAACACGCAATCGATCATTTCACACGGATGAAGATGAAGAGATAAGTAAAAATGACGATGAAACACAAGCCGACAGTAGTAATAAGAACAAAAATGGAATAACTATGAATCGCACGAAACTATCAACGATCTTTCGAAGTAATCGAATCGATACTCTACAGACTGCATTCTAATCGACGTTCTTTTTTGTTACGTCGTGAAATATTGATAAAATAAAAATATTTTGATAGCGGCACTGGCGCTATTGCAGAAACTTTTCGTGAGATATTCCTCTTATAATTGTCTCGAAACTTATCCAAAATGAAGAAATTCACTAATAAAATCGATCTGTTTTTCTTATTTGGAGTTCTACGGAAAAGAACAAAACATATCATAAGAATCAGCCCATCGAACTCTACAAACTGGTATATATTGCATTCAAAACTGAGGCTTACACTGAAGATCTATCCTCATAAGAGAAAAAATATCATCGGCTTGTAATAGTATGCCAGGAGAAAGGGAGGTTTCGAAGAGATAAATACAATTTGCTTTTTTACAAATGGATGTTCTTTTTTTTTGTGTGCTTTGTTTTCTTGTTTTAGATGTTCCGATTGATTAAAAAAAGAACGAAGAAACAATGATCCGAGAGTAATTAACATATACTCATGTTGAAATAGCAAAAAAATAAACGAAAAATTTTATATAAACGATAATTCAAAAATCTATAAATGGAGAGTCATACGAATGTTGAAATAACAAAAAGAAAACAAGAGAAAAATTTTATATAAATTATAATTTATAAATTTATAATTGGGAAGGCGTACCCATCTTGAAATATCAAAAAAAGCAAAAGAAAACATTTTATATCAATTATGATTTATAAATTTATAAATGGAGAGGCATAAACATGTTGAAATAGAAAAAAGGACAAGAAAAATCTTACATAAATTATAATTTTAAAATTTATAAACCAAGAGGTATACCAATGTCGAAATAGGAATAAGCAAAAGAATAGTTTTATATAAAGTATAGTTTACAAACTTATAAATAGAGAGGCATAACCATACTGAAATGGGAAACAGGAAAAGAAAAGTTTTATATAAATAATAATTTATAAGTTTACAAACAGATAGCCGCATGCATGATGAAATAGCAAAAAATAAATTTCCTACCAATTATACTTTGTCAATTTATAAATCGAAAACCAAATGCATGTGGATATAGCAAAATATAAAAGGGAAATTTTATATCAAATTATAATATATAAATGGAAACGCATATACATGTTCAAATAGTAAAAAATCAAAGGAAAAACCTAATTTCATGTATAATTTATAGATTTATAAATGGAAGAACATAGTCACGTTGTCATACGAAAAAAAAAACGCAAAGGAAAAATTTTACATACACTATAATTTCTATCGAATTTTACTCTTACTTTTCGTTGTAATTTTGACATGCATGTGGCTTTCCATTTATAAAGTCATAAATTATACTTGGTATATAATTTATCTTTTTGGATTTTTGCTATTTCAACATCAGTAAGTCTCACAGTTTATAAATTTTTGAATTATCATTTATATAAAATTTTTCCTGTTTTTTTGTTATTTCAACATGGGTATACGTTAATTGCTCTCGGATCATTGTTTCTTCGTTCTTTTTTTTTT